ACAGAGTTGCCCCTGCATATACCTCTCGATAAAATCCATCACCTGCACCACAGTGCTGAGTCAGCCCCCAATCAGCTTGTTCCATCAACAGTGACTTGATCTTCCAACTGGCCCCAACTCTTGTTTCTTGGCCCTCCAAGGTACATTCCAATTGGAAGCTAAGGTAACTTTGCTTATAATCCAACATGCCCATTATTCTCTGGTGCATACACCTTTGCCCGGGTCCCTGGTGCCCACCACAAAACAAGGCTCTAGAGGACATAGTCTCAGATCAGGGTTCCCATGCTCTGACCTCACCCACCTCGCAGCCCAAGGGGACTGCAGCTCCCTAAACACTCCAGGATCTTCGAAGACACAGAGTTTTTCCTTGTGTTGCTAGTTCAGCCTGGAGTGCTTGCCCTCATCTCATCTGCAAGACCAGCTCTCATGGCTTTCCAACACAATGCTCAGAGAGCAGGTACGTCTGCGAATTCCCCCCAGACTTTTCTTACCACTGCCTCACAGCTTTGTGTCACAGCAATATAGCTAGTATTTGTGTATCTTCCTCCCTCTGTTATATTAAAATATCCCTTAAAGCAGAGACAGATGGATTTGGTTTTGTTTGTTTTTAAATGTGGCTTCTCTATTACCCACGACAGCATTCTTGGCTACTAACTTAAAGGTTGTCAGTTCAAATCCACTGGGAGGTACTTCAGAAGGAAGGGCTGATGATCTCCTTCTGAACAGTCACCACCAAAACCTCTTTGGAGTGCAGTTCTGCCCTGCAAGACATGGGGGTAGCATGAGTCTGGTGTGGCTGAATGGCAACTGGTTTGCTGGTCCCACTCAGCAGAGTACCTGATGGTGAGCTTAATAAGTGCTAATTGGGGTAACTGAACAAATAAGTGAGTTACTAAGCCCTAGAAGATTATGTGAAGTTGATATTTTCTGCATAGTTCTAGTAGCTTGACCTTGCTTGCGTTGTGGAACCCTAAATGTTTGAATTCCCTCTTCAAGTAGCCTTAGCCAGATAAAGTATTTCAGACATACACATACTTTAAAAATAAAACAAAACAGAAATTCCTGTCTCTCTGAGCACTAAATTTATCTGAGTGGCCTGTGTTTCCGTTTGCTGCATCTGGCCACCACATGTCCTTGGCCACCACATGTCCGAGGCCACGTTAACCCTAAATTCCATATTAACTGCGAGACGCTATACCTTTGATAGCCGGGCACCATCAGCTTTCTTCACCACTTTTACTTATGCACCCACTTTGTCTTCAGCGATCATGTCGGGAATGTGAACATAATGGAATGCCAGTTTAATAGAACAAAGTGTTCTTGCATTGA